TTTTTTCTTTAATTCTTTCTTTATACTTGTACAATACAATATATAATCCTTAAGCTTAATGTCAGTAGCCAAATCTTTGTATGGAACTGCGAGTTTCACAGTTCCAGTGGCGAGGTGTCCGTTGACTGTGCGCATGCGCACATAGGAAGCTACATGTGAGGCTGCAAGGGAGAGGGAGCACTGCAGGGATGACAGTGCCGACCGGTGCTGACCCTGGCGTGCTGGTGGAAGGTAGTTTTTTTTTACTCCGCGTGTGTTGTGCTTAAAAAATATGAGTTAATTGTAGAATTAGATTATTATCCTGCTTCCAGCTATTCTATTTGATTCATTTTTTTCGGTTCTTTTATTTAACAGAAAACTTTAACCATGGCCTTGCATCCCCGAGAAATAAGTTATGTGACTGTAAGTGAACTTCAACAGCTCAAGTTTTCACAACTGTCTCTCCATGAGAAAGTTGCAGTTAAGAAAGAGGTCGTTTAACACCTGATATTCTAATATCTCAGCCAGGCATAAGCAGGAACAATAAATATATTTGTAGCTTTAATTCTGAATGGTACAAACGGAAAAGTTGGCTTTGCGGCTGTGAAGTAAAAAAATGCACTGTTTTGCTTCCCGTGTTTGCTGTTTGGGGGTGATGTAACATGGACAAAAGATAGTTTTAGAAATATAAACAAAATGAAAGAAAAAACTGGAAAGCATGAGAAGTCAAAGAAGCACGTTGATAATGTAGTTTCACTGTCACTTTTAGGAACTGTAAGTATTAAGGAGAAACTTAGTGAGGCATACAGACTTTCAATCGATGAGCATAATATAAAGGTTAAAAAGAATGGATTTCATTTTTAAATGAATAGATTACGCTTGAACTGTAACAATTTAGGTTAAAGTAAGTAAAAAATGTTTGATTTTGTTCTTTTAGGATTTTATCAAGTTTCTCAATAAATTTTCTTTTTATACATGTTTGTTTCCTTTTATACAATTTTAAAACAAAGGCTACAAATTTTCTGGAGCAGCACCCCCACTAATTTTAGCTACGAGCCGCCACTGGTGGTGATGAACTGTAAATTGTCATGAATTTTGTTTAAAATGGCACAGTTTATTTACTGAAGCAGTGGTTCAATGAACCTTCCTTGATTCATGTGCAGGGATTTTATATTCAAGAATAACCTCAGAGCTGGAATGAGCGATAGGCAAGACACAATTTACCTGATGGTCCTACACCCATAATCTCAAGGAATGACATAGCAGCCACAGTAGTAGTCATAGTAGCAGTGGTATAAAAGGTAACTAGTAATGGTGATGGTAGTAGTAGTAGTAGTAGTAGCAGCAGCAGCAGCTTGGTATGTACATATATACTAGGCATGCATTCCATGTATGTGGCCTGATTTTCTCCCTAATGACTGTTTAATAAATCTGAACTCCTCAGAAGACTAGCTCACACACAGTAATCTACATCTGCAAGTAGAGACTGGGTTCCTTAGACTGTTACAATGGTCCATTCATTTCATCACACATATTTTGGAAACTGTCTCTTGCCTTTGCTACATTTAACATACACAATGATATGGAGGTTAGTTCTATTTCCACTTATCAGTTAGTGAAATGACAACCAGTCATGTGCAGATGAGATCCGACTGCTAAAATACCATAGATTACTCAACTTTCAGCACCATATGATGTACGTGGTGTGTTCAAAAAGTATCGGCCTTCTTTTTCCCCGCATAAACCAATGAAGCGCGGGAGGCTCCCTTCGGTGGAGATGTGGAGGGGACATTCATGCGCAGTCATGAATTTTTTCCTGCCGGCAGAAAGCGTCAGTTGCTGGCAGTCGGCCTATGAGTGAGGACGTGTGGTGAGCGCTCGTCGGATTCCAGTAAGGTGTAAAATGACGGAACAACATGAGCAGTGATAGTGCAACAAATTTGCCAAAAGCTTGGTGATACCCAAGTGGAAACCATTTGCAAGATTCAACAGGCTTTTGGGGACGATGCCATGAGCAACTCATGAATAAAGGAGTGGTACAACTGCTTCAAAGATGGCCGCACATCAGTGGACAGCGAACTGCGTTCAGGCAGACCCTCAACAAGCCGAAATGAGAATGTCATTGAGCAAGTGCAGATTTTGGTCATGGAGGACCGTCATATCACAGTCCGAGAACTAGCGAACGAGATAGGGGTAAACGTTGGATCAGTACATTCAATTTTGACCGAGGATTTGGGCATGAGGAGAGTGTCCGCGAAATTCATACCGAAACTGCTAACAATGGAGCAGAAGCAACGCCACCTGGAAATCGCACAGGACATGCTGGACAATGCAAACAGTAACCCCAACTTTCTGAACACCGTGATCACAGGCGATGAGTCGTGGGTTTATGGGTATGACCCGGAAACCAAGATGCAGTCGTCACAGTGGAAACATCAGACATCCCCGAGGCCAAAAAAAGCACAGCAGGCTGCAGCAATGTCAAGGTCATGCTGGCTGTTTTTTTTTACTCCCATGGGGTTGTGCATCATGAGTACGCACCACAAGGCCAAACCATCACATAGGAATACTACCAGGAGGTCCTTTGTCGCCTTCGTGATGCTGTGCGGCGCAAACAACTGGATCTGTGGGCAGCAAAAACTTGGCAGCTCCATCATGATAACGCACCCGCCCACTCTGCACATCTGATTCAGACTTTCGTCGCCAAACACATCCCTGTGGTTCGTCAGGCTCCCTACTCCCCCGACACGGCTCCATGTGACTTTTGGCTATTTCCCAAGCTGAACACGCCGCTGAAAGGAACCCGATTTGAGTCAAGAGAAGACATCATGCGGAATGTGACGGCCCAGCTGATCACCTTTCCAAAAGACGCATTCCAGAAGTGTTTCCAACAATGGTGGAAGCGCTGGGAGAAGTGTGTGCATTACCAAGGAGACTACTCTGAAGGGGATTAGGGTTTTGTACCTCCAAATCAATAAATGTATTTCTGCCGACCAAAGGTTCAATACTTTTTGAACACACCACGTACTCTGCATGTCAGAAGTGCAAGTCATGTATAGCCATTCACATGCTCAGCATATCAACAATATCACTTAATCTTGGCATCCTTTGCTTTAAAACTGTTAAGATATTCCATAAGTGTTAGGTATGCAGTAAAAGATGATAATCTGAACTTTTTATTACACTTTTATAATGTCTAATCACAAAAGGGCAAGTTAAATATCCTGTCATTTGTCCTCTCATAATGTTTTCCTTCTCACCACCAACTGTTCAGTACATGATTCACTAGTGTTTTCATCTCAAAGATTTTCTTTTTGGCTGAATGGAACCAAGCCATTATATGTCACAACTGCAAATGGCCTTTCATGAATTTGTGTATCATCAAGGAACACAATCAAGTTGAGGATAATGCAGCATTATACATGTTAACAGGTACTGTTTTGTGCTGCCATGTATATCTATTACTGTTTTATAGTGTTATGTCATCAAAGTCATGGTCTAATACTGTTTATTCAATCCAAAAATAATACTTTGTTGTGAATGCCTGCCTCAAGTACTGAATGCAAGACTGTCTCAATATCCTAACAAAGTGCACTGTTACTGTGTGCTGGAGGACATGGTGGTCACACCAGCACGGGGATCAGCAGTGTTATTAAAGGAACAACACAGTGAAAGTTCAGATGATACACAACAGGGATTATTATTCTCATATTCGCAAAGACAGTGAAAACTCTGTGCTAAATGACAGTACTGAAATAATAACTATGAAATGGTGGAATATGGAGTCAGTGGTAAGAGATTTTGAAAAAGAAGGTTATCAAATTATGGTCATCAGAGAAAATGTTTTTACTGGAAGACTGGGGTTACAGGGTGCAGCATGGGACACAAATAAGATCTCAGAAACGTTTTAACTATTCTACAATAAAGAATATGTGGAAGATATAGTAACTATGAGCAACTGTTAAGCACAACAATTTATAAAACTGTGAGGGTTCAACCAAGATCTTCTTTAGAGACTTGGAAACAAGTGACAATGGACTGAATTTACATTGTGATTGGAATGTTTATGGTAACTGAGACAATGGTCAATGTTCTGGATGCTTTAAGGACTATCAAAGCAAGCTGAGTTACTACAGTAATGTAAAAAACATCCTTACATTCTTCAGAAGTTACAAGACTTGAATGCTATGAAATTTTAACAGAATTTGATTATGCGTGCAGACATTCCAGTTATTTCAATCCAAACATACAACCCTTTGTGAATTTAGAGCTTCATCGCCTCTGCCCTTAGATTATTTACAATTTACTTAAATCATACACTCCTGACATGTTAAAATTATGTTACATGATGTACAATGTCTGGTACCACTGTAGGGTAATGTATAGATCTGTATGCCTCACATATGTTTTGTTATAAACATCTGTTGTGAACCAGCCTGTCAGTCACTCTCAAGTATCATATAATCATGATCACAACACACTCAACTGACACACCTGCACATGTTCAAAGCTGAAGCAAACTATATTTTACACTGGACTTAAGAGAGAATGTTGTCATAAGTTAAGCAGAAGCAGGAGGTTCTTTATGCAACAAGTAGGAAACCTTTGCTAATGAATGGTACGTTGAGAAACTAACTATGAAGCCTACCTAGATCCCTCCCTGAGATGAGGTTCACAGTGCTCCAAATGGATCCAATGGAAGTGTTTGTGCCCCTTGCTGTGGTTGCGTTGGAGGCTGTGTTGCTAGGGGTTGCTGCCCCATCACACCAGGTGTTCCCCCTATTCTGGGGCTTCCCATCATTCCGCCACCACCACCTATTATCCCTGCCCCTCCCATCATGGGTGCTGCCACCACTGGCCGCATGCCTTGCATCCCCTGGACAGGTTAGCAAAGAACCTAAGTACACCGAAAAGACGCGCAACAAAGACCAGTTTTCTTGGAACGTTTTAATGTGAATAAAATAAAATTCCTGTTCCTGAACAAGTCCTCTCACATTTTAAACAATGTGAATTCACATTAAAAAATGAAATACTCACAACAAAAAAAAACATTACCTTCAAAATACTTTCATCTTATAAAACTGTGTATTTCGGTATGTTACTACATTCAACATCAACGTTTCTACTCTGTGTTATGAACCCCAATAACACATGGTATTTTCTTTTTAATCAGGAACTATGCATCCAAAATGTGTTCAATCACATACAAGGGAAAACTATAATTCAACAGAAGGTCATGAACCACATCCACCAAGAAACACTGGTCTTTATTATCATGGTCCAATGCAGACAACTGAATACTAATCCAAAATATGAAAATACAACTCAGTCCTATCTGTTTTGAAACTCATCTTTACCATATTTACCCAAATAAATCATGATCTTTCCTCTCAAAATGTAGACTCACTTCAGCTGTAATGCAGAACCAGATTTCTTCCTAGTAACTATTTACTATACAGTTATGAATAAAATTACAAAATTTCAACTTATGCATTTACATTGTATGTTACTGGCATTATCGTTAGTATGAATTATGATTTACAGATAAAATTATGTCACACTCAGCCCAGTGCTGCATGCACTTTATCACCACTAGAAAACTTATTTACATTTTCATACGTGCTGAATGACAAACTGCATTTTGCTTTGTTCACGGTTATATGAGGATTACAATATTATATTTAAGCATCCTGTTGTACTCTACACAATATATGACAAACTCTGTCCTAAGTGCAGCAATTTATTGTAGTTCTTTCATCTTGCTTTCTTCTACACTACATGTTCCAGCCACAAACGGCCATCATCAGGCGTATACTCTCATGTAGCTGCTACACTGCACGTAGTTTAAAATTTAAAAAACACCAGTCTTCCCAATTGTTCATTTTGCCATTGCTAACAGGTTTCGATATATCAGAATCTTCCCCGTTCATATCTGTCTGATATGTACAAAATCTTTGTTAACCTACACATGTCAATTTGATTTTCATAAACTGGCACTTTTAAAAATCTTCAATTCCAATTTTAAAATTTAAAATTCTCAGGGTTACCCGCNTGAGAATTTTAAATTTTAAAATTTGAAAAAAATTTAAGAAATTTTTAAAATTGGAATTGAAGATTTTTAAAAGTGCCAGTTTATGAAAATCAAATTGACATGTGTAGGCTAACAAAGATTTTGTACATTTCAGACAGATATCAGCGGGAAAGATTCTGAAATATCGAAACCTGTTAGCAATGGCGAAATGAACAATTGGGAAGACTAGTGTTTTTTAAATTTTAAACTACATGCAGTGTAGCAGCTACGTGAGAATATACACCTGATGATGGCCGTTTGTGGCCGAAACGTGTAGTGTAGAAGAAAGCAAGACGAAAGAACTACAATAAATTGTTGCACTTAGGACAGAGTTTGTGTCATATATTATATGAGGACTCTTTAATTTTCAGATGCTAACAAACTAAGGAGAAATTCTTCACTTTATATTCAGGTAAATATGGAAAGTATTAGACTGAAATAAACTAAGTTTTACTGTCTTAATTACCTCACTTTTTATACATATAAATGTGCAGGAAATACCATTGTGCAGATCCCAACTTTCTCAGGTCCCATACTTAACATGCCAAAATACCCATTATCAAAAGTGTCGTCAATATCTAAGAAGAAATTTCACTCAACCACAAACAGGGTGTATGTAAATGTTAACTACCATTCTCCTGCAAAACTTATATCTTATTACATGGCTATCAACACCACTCCTTAATGAGATGGCAATATTCTTCAATCTAATATCCCAAGACAAAAAGTAATACTCACACTAATTGAAAATGTCTGTAATTAAATTTACACACTTTAATAAGTTCTACAGTAATTTATTCTTTTCTGTGTGATGAGCGCTGATGACAAATTTGAGGGTTCCATTTATACTTATTGTTAAGGTAAGGGTTATAGCAGACTTGGATGGACCAAAATGAAAATCATGTGAACTTTCAGTGCAATTTTACTGAATAATGCTAAATTTTTGGGAAATGAAACATAAACAGACAAACATGAAATTTTCAACATGTCTTTACACACTTACTGGAATAAATACACATTACTGCAGGCAGCATAGCAGTGTGAAACAAACTGTTTACATTTTGGCATGCTGAAATTAAATTGCATTGGCTATAATATTGAAAAGCAATTAGTGTAACAATGATTTAATAACTAGCAGAACAGAGATGTCTGTTCAGTCTAGTGTGATACCTCCAGGTTGAAAAAAAAACTATAACATGAATGGGATTCAGTATATCTACACCTATCTGAACTCTCAATAGCTCATATGGACAAAAGTGATAGTTTATATGAAGCGAGGATTAGAAGAATTCTTAAATATACATCTCACAGGGTAATATAATATTTTCAAGTACTAGTGCCAGATATTATACTTCTACAATATTTTAAAAATCAGAGAGACTGATAACTGAAGGAGACATTCACAGGAAATGTACACGTTAAAATCACATACAAGTTATCCATTAATAGCAATGTTTCAACCTCCTCCACAGAATGTCAGAAGTGAGTGGTTAGAACCCTTGATTCTTATCTGACAGTTCCTGGCCTGGAGATCAGCTACTCTGACTGATGTTTTACAAGGCTTTACTCAGTCCCTCAAACAGATGTTGGGATAATTTCTTCAAATAAGTCATGACAACCTCCTTCGACAAATTCCTCATAACTTACTACCAATTAACACTGCAAAGTCAAAGGGTGTGAATGACAAAAAAATTATTAGGCCAAACTGAAACAGATAACAGTTGAAATTACATAACCAGAATGCTGAGTAGATATACTGGCAGTTCCCAAACTCAGGTTGCAACCCAAATCAGGGCTGCAAAGGGTCCTCTGAATTGATTTTCCTTAACTGCTGAAATGTGCAGAAGAGGACAAGTCTTGAGGACTGGTGGTGGCCAACACTGACTAAACAGAAAATGGTTGCTTAACAGATTTACAAAGCTGTTTCAAATGAACAAGTAGTGTTGAGTAAGACATAAAGATACACAGAGCACATATACACACTATGAAATTCCTTCAAATTAACCTACACCACAGAAAAGTGGCCACGGCAACTCTATGCCAGCAACTAGCTGAGGGAAAGGCAGATACAGCACTTATTCAGGAACCTTGGTTATACAAGGGTCAAATAAGGGGCTTAACTAATACAAGAGGAACAGTTTACTCTGCTGTACCTGGTAATAATGCGAGATCCTGTGTTTATATCAGGAATCATATTAATGCCTTACCTTTGCTGGAGCTCTGTTCTAGGGACGCAACAGCAGTGAGGATAACATATATGTATCAAGGGGGTAGCAAGGAGCTGACTGTTGGTTCAGTCTACCTTCCATATGACTCAGATGAACCACCACCAACTAAGGAAAGGAGGGACATCATAGACTACTGCTGTAGCAGAAAAAAGCAACTCATCATTGGGAGTGATGTTAACGCGCACATTTTGTGGGGGAGCACCGGCACTAACCCAAGGGGGGAGAGCCTCATGGAATTTCTGGTGAGTTTGAACCTGAATATTCTAAACCATGGTAATGAACCTACCTTTATCGTTTGCAATAGGAAGGAGGTTATTGATTTGACACTAGGGACAAATAACATAGAAAACCTGGTAAGTAATTGGCACATATCTGATGAGCCATCTTTATCGGACCACAGATACATATGCTTTCAAATAGGTAACATATCAACACAAGTTACCTTCAGGAATCCAAGGAGAACCAATTGGGAATCATACAAGGACGACCTAAAGGTGAACCTGGAGATTATTTCGCGAAGTATATGCACGATAATGGACATAGATCGATCTGTTGACCAGTTGCAATGGGCCATCATCTTGTCCTGTTATCACAATTGTCCAGCCAAGATCACTTGCTTACCAACAAATGCACCTTGGTGGAATAAAAAGCTGAGTGGGCTAACAGTTAAAACAAGAAAGCTATTTAATACAGCGAAAAGGACAGGGCAGTGGGACACCTACAAGGAAACCCTCACCTGTTACAATAAAGAGATAGGGAAAGCCAAACGATCCTCATGGAGAAGGTACTGCCAGGAGATCAATGATTTATCAGGGAGTGCCAGACTCATGAGGGTCATGGCAAAACAGGCGACCAATAAGGTCAGCACTATGAAGTTGCCTGATGGTAAGTATAACCAAACTGGAGAAGAGGCACTGAAGGAACTGTTCAGAGTTCACTTTGCAGATTCAACTGGAACCTGGTTGGTCAGGTAATCAATCAATCAAAAATCAGATGGGCGTTAGGTACCTTCAAACCATTTAAGTCTGCAGGAACAGATGGTATTGTACTGGCTCTTCTGCAGCAAGGGGCGGAACATTTAGTTCCACACCTATGCTGCATATTTAGAGCCTGCATGGCGCATGGGTTTATCGCTGCGGCCTGGAGGCAAGTTAAAGTGACATTTATTCTGAAGCCCAGGAAACTTGATTACACAGAGGCTAAAGCTTATCATCCTATCAGCCTGTCATCTTTCCTTTTGAAAACGATGGATAGAGATATTAGGGACGGTACATTGAAAATTCTTCCGCTGCACCGAAACCAACATGCTTACCAAATAGGTAAATCTACTGAAACTGCATTGCATAATGTAGTAACATGCACAGAACATGCTACTGAATATAAGGATATTGACCTTGGAGCATTCCTTGATGTAGAGGGAGCCTTTGACAGAACATCCTTTGATATAATAAAACAGGCTGCTGAGAGGCATGGCATTGAGCCCACAATATCCAGATGGATCTGTGCCATGCGGGAAAGCAGGAATATAAGTACTACATTGTCTGGAGAGACCCTGGGAGCGTCTGTGGCGAGAGGGTGTCGGCAGGGCGCTGTTCTTTCCCTCTCCTGTGGAGCCTTATCATCGATGATCTTCTTTGGGAGCTCATCAGCACAGGACATTTCAGAGTAGGATATGCTGATGATATAGCAATCCTAATCAATGGGAAATTACCGCACACTGTATCAGAGGTCTTACAAACAGCCCTGCATACAGTTCAACAGTGGTGCGAAAGGACAAACTTGTCTATCAATCAAACAAGACTGTGATTGTACCGTTTACTAGGAAGAGGGATATAAAGGGGCTCAAAGAACCAATCCTCTTCAGTAAAGTGATCTGACTATCTGATGAAGTCAAGTACCTTGGATTAACATTAGACAAGGGGCTGACATGGGGGGGGGGAAGAGCTGGCTAAGGCTATTAACAAGGCCTATAAGGCCTTCTGGACATGCAGAGGCACATTTGGGAAGACTTGGGGACTGACACCAAGGGTGGTATATTGGATATACACTGCAGTGTAAGACCCATAATCACCTATGCCGCCACTATATGGTGGTGGCCTAGAGTCAAACTCAAAACAAGTCAGGCAGAACTTAGCAAACTGCAAAGGACAGCCTGCTTGGGAATTATGGGAGCAATGAGAACAGCTCCAACAGCTGCAATGAAAATCCTACTAAAATTCCCTCCACTGCATTTGAAGATGGAAGCAGAGGCCAAGTTAGGAAATTATAGATTATGTTGCAATGATCAATGGAGACCTAAATCCGAAGGTTTTGGACATGCATACATGACTCGGGACATGAAAAAAGAACCAATCCTACAGATGATATCTGATAAAATGCTATCGAAACATGTTCATGATAGACCCTTCATGATCGGATTTCCTGATAGAAGTGAGTGGAAAGAGGGGTTTCAACTAATCTGGTATACCGATGGCTCCAAGACAAATAAAGGCACTGAAGTTGGGGTGTATTGTGATGGAATGAGGCAGAAGCATATCTTCAGCCTTGGTCAGTACACAACAGTATTCCAGGCAGAGGTGTATGCTGTGAAGGCATGCACAGTTGAGAATTCAGATAGGAACTATAGAAATAGGAACATCTATATCCTATTGGACAGTCAGACTGCAATTAAAGCACTTGATACACACCAAATCACTTCAAAACTTGTTTGGGACTGTCACTAATTCCTCATACAACTGGCCAGACATAACAGAATACAACCGATATGGGTGCCAGGTCGTGAGGGTATTGCAGGGAATGAAACTGCAGATCAGCTGGCAAGAACAGGATCTGAACCAGCTTGCGGCATCTCAGTAGGAGAGTACTGCTGGGAATGAGACCGCAGATCAGCTGGCAAGAACAGGACCTGAACCAGCTTACGGCATCTCAGTAGGAGACTACTGCTGGGAATGAGACCGCAGATCAGCTGGCAAGAACAGGATCTGAACAGCTGTTCACAGGACCTGAAACAGCTTGCGGCATCTCAGTAGGACAGTACTGCAGGGAATGAAACCGCAGATCAGGTGGCAAGAACAGGATCTGAACAGCGGTTCATAGGACCTGAACCAGCTGGTAAGAACAGGATCTAAACAGCCATTCACAGGACCTGTACCAGCTTGCGGCATCTCAGTAGGAGAGTACTGCTGGGAATGAAACTGCAGATCAACTGGCAAGAACAGGATCTGAACAGCCATTCACAGGACCTGAAACAGCTTGCGGCATCTC